GTCCCAGAAACACTAGTCTCCCCTGAGATATTAAGAGAAGTTCTCTAAGAAAGGGAAAGAAGGAGGGAGAGTTCTGTGGTCAACTATTTTTACAGGATGTTGGAGAAAAGAAATTTAAAAGTTCTTTTTCTGCAGGATTTTTATCAGAGTTTTATTATATCAGTATGAATCCCCACTTTATTTTTCAGGGAACACTACTAAAATCTCAGAGCACAGATTTACATCATGGCTTCGGAATCATTGCAATCCAGCTTCCCAGCCCAGTTCTGCCACTGCCCAGGTGCCTTGGGAAAGTCCTCCCCTGCTTCTTCAAGTGCAAAGTGGGGACAATGATAATCCCACTTTATGGCATTGTTGGGAGGATTAAATGAGCTAATGCATGCTGAGTGCTTAGCTCAGTGACTTTGGAAATAGGAAGCGCTCAGTGTAAATTATTATTGCCCAGCAGAAGTATCAGCAGTGTCCATGAAGGACTAGAAGAGGAAGGGGGTGAAGTTCACATATGACAAAGTAACTGACGAGGCTCGCTCCTGGGCACAAGTGATAGCAGGTGTGGAAATAACACCACAGACTCAGGTTTTAACAGTTTGATTTGTCATTTACCCAAGATCTGCATGGAGAAGAAGTGAGGAGACCTCAAACCATAGGATAGGGACACCACCCCTCAGGTTTTTAAATCAATGTAAAATAAAATTAACCATTTTAAAGTATACAATTCAGTGGAATTTAGTATATTCACAGTGTTGTGCAACCATAACTTCTAGATAGTTCTAAAGCTTTGTCATTACCTCGAAGAGAAACCCCGTACGCATTAAACAGTCACTCCCCACTCACCCATCCAGCCAGCCCCTGGTAGCCACTAATTTTTCTGTCTCTGTGGCTTTACCTGTTCCATTTCATATAAATGGAATCATATAATTCATCCATGCGGTAGCATATATCAGCACTTCACTCCTTTTTATGGCTGAATAATATTCCATTGTATGGCCATGCCACAGTTTGTTTATCCATTCATCAGTTGATGGACATCTAGACAGTTTCTACCTTTTGGTGATTGTGACTAATGCTGCTATGAACTTTTATGTACATGTTTTTATTTGAATATCTGTTTTCAGTTCTTTCGGGTATATGCCTAGGAGAGGAGTTGCAGCTTCATATGGTAATTTTATGTTTAACTTTTCGAGGAACTGCCGAGCTGTTTTCCACAGTGGCTGCACCATTTTTCATTCTCACCAGCAACGTAAGAGGTTTCCAATTTCTCCACATCCTCACCAGCACTTGTTATTGCCCGTATATTTGATTATGGCCATCCTAGTGGGTATGAAGTGGTTTCTCATTGTGGTTTTTATTTACATTTCTCTAATGACTAACGATGTTGAGTACTCCCCTCAGTTCATAACATGTCAATCTGGTGGGTTTTCTTCCTTCCAGGAACTGCTTTGGGATCCATGGGGAAGGGAGGGCCTTGCATCACAAGGAAACAGACATTAAAAACCATTCTGTTTGAAAAAGGATTTAAATATATGTCTTAAAGAACACTGTGAGCCACAATGAAAATGGCAAAATAGATATCTGAAAAGAGGTTCAGATATAGGTTAAAAAAGAGAGTTACAGTATTCACTTAGAAGGACAATGAGAATGATGAAATTGAAGATCTCCTTTAAGTTGAGATTTGTAACTTTTAGAATACCTGACACAAGTTCCGTTAGTCTGGACTTGCTGACCCTCTTCAGAGTCTCCTGGAGATCCTGGGAAATCCTGCAGAGGGGAGGAGTCACTCTGCAGAGATCTGATCCTGCTTTGGCAAGTGAGGGCAAGACTTTCCAGCTCCTTACATGCTGGACCAGAAACCAGAAGTTGCTTGTGGATTTTGTAACACTTTTGGCCTCAGTGTATTTTTTTTCAGAATCACTTCCTAGGACAGGATTAAAGATGCTGTCAAAGTGGATGTGGGAGGCTGGCAGATATTCCCAGGAGGGCTGGGATGAGACGTGTTGTCCGATACTGTTAGATACTATTTCTAATCCAGTGAACTGTGTGCCATCTAGAAGGAGGTGGCAAAACCTTTGCAAATACTCAGAGGCAAAAATTTGTTACGGATGGCGGGGGTAGGGAGTGGAATAGGTTTGAGGGGGAGCAAATTGTTGTGTCCCTGGATTGGAGGCAAGAGCCACCCATTCAAACTTCCTCTCCTCTCTTTCCCTCCCTCTGTCCCTCCTTTTCTGTCCATAGTCACATTCAGAAGTGTTTTGAAGAACAGATTTTTGGAGGTAAATAAGGAAATGTGAGGAATGAGGCAAATCTAATTGGCTCTCATAGCTTTTAAACTGGACTCATAAACCAGTAGGGCATATGCCAAGAGTAGAAGGCTTTTTGTGGAATATAGTTCAGAAATGTTCAGAAAAGGGCCTGAGAAAAAGGTAATTAAAATACATTTTTACTTTTTTTTGTTTGTTTTTTGAGGAAGATCAGCCCTGAGCTAACTGCTGCCAAACCCCCTCTTTTTGCTGAGGAAGATTGGCCCTGAGCTAACACCCATGCCTATCTTCCTCTACTTTATATGTGGGATTCTGCCACAGCATGGCTTGAGAAGCAGTGGGTAGGTCTGCACCCAGGATCTGAACTGGCGAACCCTAGGCTGTCAAAGCAGAACACACGAACTTAACCACTGCGCCATGGGACAGCCCTTATATTTTTACCTTTTTGAGGAGGTAATACATTCACATCGTTCAAACTTCGAAAATGATGATAAGTAAAACACTGAAATGTCTCCTTCCTTCCCTGTTAGTCTTCTCAATTCTTGCTCTTATAAGCAAGTTACCACTATTGCTTGTGTCTGCTAAATCCTTCCAGTGTGGCCTTTTGAATGCACAGATCAGCCAATACAGATCGTGTTTCCCTTCAGTTTTACGAGTGGTTAATGGTTGTTACTCCCTGTTCTGCACTTTGTGTTTTCACTCAACAATGTAATGTCTTCAGAGCTCAGATGCAGTTTCTGTCTTACTTATCCGTGTTGTTGTTGTTAAAATATCACCTCTACCTCGACACTTTCTAGCTCTTTCTGACTTCTTGTCAGATCTGATTAGGTTGTCATTACTTTTATCTAATAATGTGGCTGAGGCCTCGCTCTCACGAGGAGCGGGAGAAGCGTCATGATTGGCCTTCTCTTGCTGTTTGCTGTGCTTGCATCATTATTATCATCATCTGCAATCTGCCATTTCTTGGCAGGAATCTTTTAAAGTGACTTATCTGTTTCCTGAGGACTAGTTTAGTTAAATCTGAATACCAGAGGCATGAATCGATGTAACCGGGCGCATGTAAACTGCAGGATACTCTGAGATGTGGGAGGCAAGTGAGGAGAAGAGAAGCCCTCTGCCCCGGGAGCCCCTTCTCTTTCTGGAACCCTCCGCGCCACATGTGACCCAGGCCTAACTCACCTATGGACTCAGTAAGGGCCCAGTGTTAGCTTCCTAGTTAAATGTTGCCAACACCCAACATCATCTTTATTTTTTGATGAAAGATAAATATAAATAGAAGCTTTAGTGTTTTCTCCCCACATCTCCATGGACCATCTTCCCACACCCTGGTGTGCACATTACCTACTTTGGAGACCGTTGCTTGAGGTAAAAAAAGTCTGACTTCTTTGGGTTTCATCATATATATGTGTATGTGTATATATTTAAAACTTAAAACAATTATTAGTGCATTTCTTTGAAGAAAAAACCATAAAACATAAAATCAGTCCTAATTCTATAATCTAGTGATAACCACAATGTATTTTTTGATTTACATTCTCCTAGACTTTGTCTTAAAGATGTGTGTGTATAATTTTTTTTTTTTTTTACAAAAATGGGGTGATATAGGATATGCTACTTGTAGCTAATCTTACGGTACATCTTTCTTTATTTCCTTAGGATGAATGCCTTAAAATGAAATTGCTGAGCAAAGGGCAGGCACTTTGTGAAGGTGTTGGATGCATATTTCCAGTTGCTCTACAGAAAAGTTATACCACCATTCACCAGCAGAAAGTGGGAGGGCCTTTTCCTGTGAGTTCCACAAATACTGCCACCTTTAAACACAAAACAAAACAAATCCAAACAGTGTAAATGTCAGGGTCCAGTGTATTTCATTTAATTGGTGTCTCAGTGATTCCCAGAAAACTTTATCAGTCTTTTCACATCTTGATGGCCATTCATGCTTATTCCTTTGTGGATTGCCTTTTCACGTTACTTGTTTATTTTTCACTTGGAGTCTTCTTTTTTTTGATCAATTTGGATAGATCAATTTGATTAACAACTAATTTGAATCGATTGATTAATTTGTTCCCTGGTGAACTCGGGCTGTGTGGACAGAGGGTGCGTCCTTTCCTCCCATTTTGTTTGCATGGACCAGGCCGTGAGGGTGGAGAGCAGAGCTAACCTGTGCTTCTTTGGCCAGTCTGCTTGGATGTCGCTCATTTTCAAGGTTCCTGAGATACACCATGATCTACTGGAATGACAGCTGCATAGGGTGGTTGGAATCAGGAACTGGGAAATGTAAACGGTGGGTTAAGAAATCTTCACTAGAAAACCAAATTCTCAAAACAAAACTCCTTTACCCAAAACCTTAATGTTCAAGAGAAAAAAGAGGCTTGCCTACTAAATGCTATTACTTCCCTGGAATAGATGCTGTAACTATAACCATGTAATTTTCTGCCATATGTCTACACAGCTTTGGAGCTGCACAGGCTTTTGTTGGCGTGGCTCTGGATAGACAAGTCTGGGTTGGCATTCGAGTTGTGCCATTTACCAGCTGTGTGTCCTCCAATAAGTTACCCAATCTCGTCAAGGTTCAGTTTCTTCCTCTGGAAAACGGAGGTGACCGTTGTAGCTAACTCATAGCACTACAGCAGGGGTTGAGTCAGAAGATGAATAGTAAGTGCTTAGTAAAAGGGCCAGACACGTAGTAAACACTCAATTACTATTTCTATCTATTATTATTATTTTATTATTATTATCAGCCTGAGATTCCCTTCAGAAAGTACATCCTGAGCTCCAAACAATTGACTCAAATCCTCTCTGGGAACATAATCCATTTGTTGGCTGGACGTTCTTTATATTCCTGAAATTATATTGAATTCTCTCAAACTCTCAGAACCCAGGTATGGAAAACAATAAACTCAGCAGCACCTCGTACACAGAGTCTTAAAAATATCTGTTGAAAGAGAGAAAGGTAGGATGTGAACGCTAACAGTGTAAAAATAGTCATACCTGATGAACTTTGTGTTGAGCGAACAGATGGTGCTCTCAGAGTCCTGTCTTAAACTCTTCCCTCAGTGGGTTCAAGATCAAAGGCACCCTTTAGGCTCTCAACTGACCAGTGAACAGGCTTCTTTCTACCATGGCCGTTTGGCAAATCTGTCTGCTATTTCATAAAAACTGGATATCATCTTGATACCTGCTCCTCACGCTTCATTTAAGCAGCCTCCCTTTTCTCATTACCTTCCACTGAGGAGATGCTGGCCATGGTAATTGGGAAAGGAGGCCAGTGAGGGCCGGCACTGCTAATGTGGATCTTAAACCAAGGAAGTTGAGAGCCACTGCCAAGAAGGGAGGCAACAGAAGCAGTTGCCATGTGAGTTTCTGGCTGAAATATACCAGACTTTAAATCTGGAAAACGTTGAGAGAGTCCCTGTAGCTGAGTGCTATTGAATATTCAATTATTTATTAGATTTACCACTGCCAGGCACAAGGGATCAGCACTGTCCTGAAGATGTCAGAGCCGTCCTGACTTCACTGACAAAGTGAAGAGAGAGTCGTGCCATAGGCTAGGCGACACTCAAAGTATTTCCATGGAACTGTAGTCTGGGGTGGGTCTCCCTGAAAAGAAGGTTCTAGCACCAGAGTTGTTTGAGGAAAAGGAGCCTACTCTTATTCCCTTGTGAGAATTGTCAGTACACATTAGTTTATGAAAGACTTCCAAGAAATCTTAAGGGAAACAGTGGAACTCTGCTTAATGGGTGCCTTCCTGACTTTGATGCTAGAACCCCATTTTTATGCTCATTGACATCCTAAGAGAGGGCTGTTCCCCAGAATGCCTTTGGCAAATGACAGTTTTGGTCATTCAGTCCCTTCATCTGCTAATACCTGCTCATGAGGAAATGTATGGGATGGGGGATCTGATTGATGCTGACTGAACGTGTGCCCTAAGTGATTTTCGATAAGAATGCCGGACTAGACTCTGCCTGTGTAGAAAGAACCTTGGTATCACGTTACCAGGCCAGGTTTCAACAAGCAGGCGTTTACTGAATCCCTACTATGTATCAGCCATTGAGTTACACAGAGTAGGTGGGATGGAACAAAGAGGGTGAGGGGCTCAGTATCTGGTGGAGCTCCCTGTGAAGAGACGTCAGAAGTGCAATATATGTGGCGGGGGGTAGGTGCTATAATACGTGGGTGGGTATGGGGTATAGAGTGGCGGTTAGAGTATGGGCTTTACCATCAGAGATCCCTGGGTTCAAATCCCAGCTCTTCTGCTTTATAGCTGTGAGGCAACTCACTCAGCCTCTCCTAGCCTCGCTCTCTTCATCTGTGCAATGAGGGTAGCCTCCCTCAAGGAGTTGCTCTGAGATGAATGGAATGACGTGCATAAAGCATTTCCACAGTGCCCACCTCCTGTAGGTACCTAATAATTGGTGGTTGTTGTCATCATGTTTATTATGAAATGCCATAGCAACTGTGGGGTATAAGATGAGCAAAATCCAACATGGAGCTTGCAGTCCTGTCAGGGAGACAGACATTAGTCAAACTAGAACATGAATATGTGCCATTAAGTTGTCCGAAGAGCCTCTAACAGGGAGACTTGGCCAGTCAAAGAGCCGACTCAGAGAGGGCTTCCCCAAGGAGTGAGAGGTGACTAGGTGGAGAGAGGAGGGAAAAGCATTCCAAGCAGTGGGAACAGAGTGTGTGATAACCCTGTAGAGGCAAGAACCAGGGGCTGAGAGAAGGCTGGAAAAGCTGGAGAGAGGAGAGCAAGGGGGTGTGGTGTGAGAAAGGAGCTGGGAGGTGAGCAAGGGCCAGCATGCAAGACCTTGTTGATGACTTTGGTTTCTATCCTAAGAGCAATGGAAAGCCACACAAGGATTTAAATGGAAAGTTCTGTTTTGTTTGAATATTATTACAAGCTGCTATGGGAGAACAGGGATGGAGGTGACGACTGCCTGGCATGGGGTGAGCCAGGAAAGACGTCTTGGAGGAGCTGAGAGAACTCCTGTTCCCACAGAGGGAGGGAAGTGCTGACCAACTGGGAATCAAGTTCACTTTCCTAAGGAAAGGATGACTGTCAGACCACCACTTCTAAGACCAGTCCTCAGAGACTGTCCCATGAAACTCCTCATTATACGGGAGGGCCACTGAGCACGGAGCAGGGGGCTTCATCTCCCAGGCCGCCAGCTCACCTGTGAGCCAGGCCATTAGGAATTGGAACTTAGTGATTGCAAAAGGACCAAAGTTTGTGGATGATTTACTTGCTTTATAAATGGGCACATATGCAAAGATATCTGTATAATAATTGCATCCTTACACACTTGTTTTTCCTCCATCTTTCCAGAATAAGAGATAAAAAGGGTGAAATTAGAATGTCCAGGGACTGTGCATAATTCACAGACTTTTAGATTTGCTGGTCCACAAGGAGCAATCTTACTGCCAAAACATTAGTATTTAGCGGTGTCAATTGCAAGTAGGGTTTGTGAGTTGTGACGTTGTAGGAAGTTTTATTTTTTTTAAATTCAATTTTCCTTTAAAATTTAATCTCTGGATAAACTTTTAGTAACGTAGAAGGTAAGCACAGCTGGTGACCAAGGGAGGGAGCGGAGCGTCTGCTTGACGGCACTTACCTTGCATGTGAAGGTCGCTGTCTTCTGTGTTGGAGCCCACACACAGTTGTCAACCAAGTTGCTCTGGATGGGCCCTAGGACTGGAGACTGAGTTCTTGGTCCAATTCTGTCCTACTGTTGGACAAATCCCCTCTGAGCTCCGGGGCTCGAGGAGTCAGTGGAAGTTGGTGACTACAGATACAAGTAAATAGCCGTTAAAATGCTGCCAACACTAGGTGGCGCCAGCGCCTAGCTGATCTGCGCTTGGACGCCAGCATCACACTGGCAACAAGTGTCCCAGGCTGAACGTGTACCTCAAACAGACAGCCCTTAGTGGGCAAACGTTGATGATGTTTGCCTTCTGTCTGCTGCGACACACTCTACATGTCCCCCACATGCTCCCAGCACCTCCGCACTGCCCCTCCGCCCAGCCCTCACAGCCTCCTACACACCCCCATACACCCCCATACACCCCCACATCTCCATACGCTCCCCATATGTCCTGACACTCCTCAACACGTCCCCCCAATGCCCTAACATGCCCCATGTGGCCCCCATGTCCCCCCACGCACCCACCCCCTGTGCTCACATCCGGCATGCCCCTCTCCCCTCTCTCCACCATGCCACTGGGGCAATGTGGCAGCTCACTCTGGTAGTGTCTGTCCTTGCATGGGGGTGGGGTGCCTATGTCCTGCCGCCTTGTCATTGGCCCAGAGTCAGCCTGGGCGATCCTGAAAACAGCCCCCCAATCTCAGACCTCGTGTTCCTTCAGGTTTCAGGTTGTGTCTGTGGGCTTTTCCTGTTTCCGGTGTAGTTCACCTCTCCAGTTCAGAAGGTGAGTGGCCCCAAGACATACCTGGGGCTTCTGAGTGTCCATCTGACCCCGTATCCTTAGCGCATCCTGCAATTCCCAACTTGTCATGTGCCCTTTATCTGTGTGACTTTGTGAACTCGGGCAGGCTGGTTAGCCTCCCTGGGCATCATTTGGGGTATTGATATGTCCACTTTGCTGTGAGGATTTACTGAGGTAACATATATGGAAGGGGCCTTCTCAGTGTCTGGGTAGAGCAGAGATCGATGTCTATCACTCACTCATTCATTCATTCATTCAGTTCAAGCCAGATTACGAGCTATTCCCACTCTCTCTCCAGGGTGTGGAGGGAAGGTGCTGTCCCACCAGACTTCCCTTTGGTGTGGGTGAGGTTCTGAGACCTCACTGCATCTTTCTTCATGATTTGGGTTTCATGTAAGATGCCTCTGCGGCCTTAGTTGCTAAGAGTCTGTTTGCCTTGGTCATTTGGAGGGCTTTCTTGACGTGATTTTTCTCTGATTTCAGTTGTGGGTTTGGGCCATGCAGCCATTGGGGGGCAGTGTCTTGTTGGCTAGAAGGTTGTTCTGTTTTCAAACCCCATTAGCATCCAGTTGGTAATATGGCAGGTCAAAGGGGCAGGCCAGAGTTCCCAAGTTGCTGAGACCTAACTATGAGAGTTTGCTCAATGGGAGAGGGATGATTTTCAGCCTGGTTGGTTTCAGAACTGCAGATAATACCAGTAATTCATCTTGACCTTCTAGTGGAAACTGCTCTCTGTAACAGAACATGGATTTGTACCAGATGAGTCCTCAGTTGGCCGAATAAAATCAAGCTGCTGTGCATCTTGGGGCAGAGGTTAGAGAAGAGCCCCTACTGGGTGGGTTCTCAGTCTTTGGTGGGCTGCAGGGCTTGGCTGCCCCAGGGCTGCGGTCACAGTGGGTCTGCCTAGCAGAGATGGAAACCCCAGCTCCTTACTGGTGGCCTTTATGCTGGAGAGCCCTCTTGAGATGCCAGTAGGGGAGATCCGGGGGCATCTCTAGACCCACCATTTAAGACCTTGGCTGTGAGAGTCAGAAGAGACAGGCTTGTGATGGCTCCTAGCCAGGTGTGTGGCTTCTAAGAGCTAATCAAGCAGACTCCCTGCCTTCTTCTCTTCTCCCTGCTCTTCAGTGAGATTGGGCAATGCAGAATAACTGTTTCCCCTGGGAAGATCTGTGTGTGAGGGTCGAAAGGGCGCCCCCGCAGGTTTGATGGAGAACACCCGGGGTCAGGAGCCACAGGACCTTCACCCCATTCCTGGCGTATTCTTTCCCTAGCGATGTGACCATGAGAAGGTCACAGAGCCACTGAGCCTTGGTTTGGGCTGCCCACTGCCCAGTGCTTCATGGCTCCCAAGTTCCTTGCCAGTCCTAAGAATCTAACAGTGGGAAGACTAACTGCCCCACCCTGCACGGTGTGACTGGGGCGGCTCAGCACAGTCCAGCCTCTCTGCTGGGAAAATAAAATGACTCAGGCTCCTGCTGTGCCGTAGGCTCACAGGCAGAGTAAGAAGAATGTCCATCACGAGGGCTACCTGCTTCTCAGCTTGCCAGCTCCAAACTCAAGGCTGATAACATCTTTGGAGAGCACTGATTGTCGAGTTAGATGGTGCCCATCACAGTTCTCTAGAAAGCTTTAAAAAAAAAAATCAATGCCTGGGCACCTCAGACCTGCTAACTTGTAATCTCTGGGCAGCCAGCATTGAGACTCCCTGTGGAGTCACTTTCCTGCTTGCAAATAGCATGTATTTCGCGTCACAGGTCCCCCTGCTTTCCGTGGCCCTGGAGAGGCCTCTTCACCCTTTCTCAGCACTTCAGGTAGCTCTATCTTGCGTATTTATTGTATTGAGTTGATCTGACCTGTTGGAGCACACCCATGGTTTTTTGTAATATAACATCTTAGTCTTTTTAAAGCCTTGTTGCTCACAGTGTGGTTCCTGGATCAGCAGCATCAGCATCACCTGGGAGCTGGTTAGAATTGCTGCGCCGAACCCACCTTCTGAATCCGGATCCGTCTTTTCCCAAGATCCCCAGGTGGATCTTGTGCGTATTAAAATCTGAGAAGCACTGGTTTAAAAGAGCATTATTCTCTCTCACATATTTTTTTTTAATGAAAATTTCAATTCTTTTAGTCACAGCCCAACTTCTGTAGGGAGCAGGGTTCTGAGAAGCCTCCCTGGGTGGCGGGGTGGGGGGTGGGGGTGGGGGAGGCGGTGTGTGATGCTTCTCATGGTACCTAGTGTGTGTCCCATTTCAGAAATTCTGGTCTCTAGTGACTGTGTGTATATTAGGGCATCTCCTGTACATCCACGTTTTTATTATTCATGCCACACATTTTCATCAATGAAGCTGGCCTTTGTGGGTCTCTTCTTCGCAATTTTAGTACTCTGATGAGTATAGCTTTCATCTTTGAATCTCCAGCTCTCTGACAATGCCTGGCACGTGGTAGGTACTCAAATTATATTTCTTGAATGGACTCTCTATCCCTCATCATGAGCAATATGAAGTGAGTAATTGATTCAGGGAGCAGAGAAATTAATTGGGTCACTCGATAGCAGTTAATATAAATTTGGTGAGCAGGAGAGAAACAAAAATTGACTAAGTCAATACAATTTTGTCTTTCTCATGAGCTCTCTGTGTCTTCATTTTCTAAGGGAAGCTGGTAGGTCTCCCTTCCTGGCAGGTACAATCTCCATCAGAACATCAAAGACAAGTGAATGTGTTGTGCTTTGAAACTGGGTTTGCAGACCCTTTTCCAGAGCTGGTTACATGTTTGTATTTTATTGTGGCCATATTAGGGAAGAGTGGAGAATTAAGAATTCTGTGAAGGACACTCCTCCACAATCCACTTCTTTCCATTCCTTATGTCTGGCACGGGGGAGATGAATGGCGGGTGGGGGTTCTGAGAGTTGCTCCTCTGCCCCTGGCCACGAAGAAGTGCCCCCTGCTTGGAGAAATCCTTTTCATCCTCTAAAGCCCATTGCAGGTATCACCTCCAAAAATCCTCCTCCAATTCTCATCCCCTGCAAACCCAACCTTTCCTCCCTCCCTTCCCGGGCTGTTGGGATTAGCGCTTGTTGTCTATGCTTCTTGTACTAGTCAGAGCTTCCTTTTTTTTTTTTTTTTTTTTTTGAGGAAGATTAGCCCTGAGCTAACATCTGCTGCCAATCCTCCTCTTTTTGCTGAGGAAGGCTGGCCCTGCGCTAACTTCCATGCCCATCTTCCTTTACTTTATGTGTGGATGCCTGCCACAGCATGGCTTGATGAGCAGTGCCATGTCCGAACCTGGGGTCAGAACCGGCGAACCCTGGACCACTGAAGCGGAATGTGTGAACTTAACCACTGCGCCACTGGGCCAGCCCTAGTTAGAGCTTCTTGAAGGCAGGGAGGACATCTTTTCTCTTGGAATTCGGAAGAGGGCAAATGTGGTCCTACCATCTGTCCACCTTCCTCAAGTGTCCTGTGCTCTCCCTCCTCGCCTGTCTGAATCCCAGGCACTTTGGAACCCTAGAGAGGGTGCCCCCTGGAATGCCTCCCCTCCCCAGGCAGCATTGGATGCTCATCTTTCCCTTCCTCCAGCCCATTATCCAGGCTCAGCATTTCCTTGAGCTTTTGCTCATTTCACACAAACTGGTTCACAAAAATGTCATGAGGAATCTGAGTCAGGGTCCATTGCAGAGAAAAAAGCCTATGGGATCAGATTACGAAAGGACTCCCCTCTCACCACACGGAGCACCCAGGCCGACCACTGACCCTTGTCTCTAAATGATAGCCCAGGAGTGGCTGGAAAATGTGGACAGATATTCCCTGATGTGGGTATCAGGCCCTCTGTTTATTTTATAAAACTCATATCTTTCTGTAAATTGTAGGCATGTATTTCCTCTGTATAAATACTTTACGGTAGGCAAAGAGAATTGCAAATCAGCCAAATGGACCTGCACAAGCAGGAAGTACGCTAAGAGCCAGCGTGCTGGCTGCAGGGGGTCAGCAGTATAATGGGCAGAAAGAGGCTGCACCACAGGGCTGCAAGTTGGGGAACTGGCCAGAAATCTTCAGAGAGCTGACTTGGCATTTTTAAAAAAAGTTTTGTTCTTATATTGACATATAGTTGTCATGTAATATTTTATTAGTTCCAGGTATACAAAAATTTTTTTTGTCTGTGATGAGAACTTTTAAGATCTGCCCTCTTAGCAGCTCTCAAATACGCAATACTGTATTATTACCCATAGTCATCATGCTGCACATTCCATCCCCAGGACTCACGTCTCTTATACCTGGAAGTTTGGGCCCTTGACCCCCTTCACCCATTTCGTCCACCCTGCCCTCTACCTCTGGCAACCAGCAATCTGTTCTCTGTATCGATGAGTTTGTTTTTGTTTTTGTTTTTAGATTCCACATATAAGTGACATCAAAGAGTATTTATCTTTCTCTGTCTGTCTTATTTCACTTAGCATAATGCCCTCAAAGTCCATCCATGTTGTCACAAATGGCAGGATTTCTTTCT